ACCAACGACTCGTGCCCCAAAGGAGACCCATACGTAAAGCTTTTCGGAGTGGATGTACAGGAGAAGGACAGTCTACAGAAACATGAGTAAAACACCAAGGATTCGTGCGCCTGGGAAGGCCCAATATATAGGAACAAATGCACAAAACCAGGGATTGGAGCCACTCCTGTTGCCTTCTGATGCCTCCTGCTCCTGGGGCCTCGTGGGGTCTCCTCGGGCCCCTGGTGCTTTCTGGAGCCTCTTGAGGCCTCCTGGAGCTTCATGGGGCCTCCTAGAGCCTCTTGGGACATCCTGTGGCCTCCTATGGCATCCTGATACCTCCTGGGACCTCCTCTTGCCTCCTGGAGCCTAGCCTGCTGGAGCCTCCTGTGGCATCCTGCAGAGGATCCGTGCCCACGAGTCTGGCCAGCAAAATAGGCAAACTGCTCGAGACATCCTCAAAATCTGGCCCCCCTTGGGGGCGAACATGAGCGCCTCGCTCGAGGCATCCTCCAAATCTGCTCCGAAAGCGGATGATGTCGGGTCTTGAAACAGGCAACCCGCTCGAGACATCCCCACCAGTTTGGCGCGAACGGAGACGTGAGGTACCTTCTGGCGGCTCCCCTTTGGGGGTGCTGAAACCCGTGCCTCGCTTGAGACATCCTCAAATCTGCTCCGACAGCGGAGGATGCTGGGTCTTGAAACAGGCAAGCCGGTCGACACATCCCCACCATTTTGGCGCGAACGAAAGAATGACATACCCCTTGGCGGCTCCCCCTTGGGGGTGCTGACATTCGTGCCTTGCTCGATACATCCTCAGAATTTGCTCCGCCATCATCATCATCATCATCATCATCATCATCATCATCATCATCATCATCATCATCATCATCATCATCATCATCATCATCATAAGCATCAGCAGCAGCATCAGCATCAGCATCATCATTATCATCATCATCAGCAGCAACAGCATCATCACCATCATTATACTCATCATGCTCATTATAATCCTCTTCATCATAACGGTCAACATCAACATAATCGAACCCATCATATTCATCAACAGCATCAACAACAGCATCATCATAATGTTCAGCATCAACATCACCACCGCAGTCGAACACACCAGATCATGACATCGTCATCATAAACAGCATCACCATCTTCGCAGCATACCATACCGTACCATACCATAACATGACATGGCATGCCAGACCATATCATGACATACCATATCAGATCATGACGTAGCAGACATGACATGCCATCGCATGACATATCATACCACACCATAACATAGCATGGCCCATCATAGTACCCTGGCATACCATGATATACCATAACAAGAACAATCAACTGTCATAGCATAGCATGAGGAGAATGTGAGTTCGGAGCGGTCGGAGTACTAACAATAACCCCATCCATTGGATATGGGGAATGGCAAGAACCCCATGCTTTGGAGATGTGGAATAAGAAGAACCCCATCATTCGGATATAGGGGAAACGCAACATGCAAATGTTACTGCACGTATGTAGCCACACACGCACAACCATGACCGTATACATATCGGGGTTTAATAAAACCCAAGCGGACATATACGCGTACGTACACGCACATGCCTGTATCGGTCACCTTGCCTTCAGCACGTCGTGTATTGCCACAAGGCTCATGCAGCCCTGAGAGTTGAAGGGAGTGCATTTTTCTTTTGAGGCGAAGACCCCGCCCGCGCATTTGGGAACTCCAGGGTGGGTGCTCTTGGAAGCTCCCAGACAATCCTCGACTGCCGCAATAACCCCATCAAATGACCAAACAAAAGGCCTCAGAGCGGTGCAAGACAGCTCCAAGACGGCCCAATGTGGCCCCAAGAATGCCTAAGGGGCCCACAGGATGCCCTAAGCGAGCCCCAAGAGCGCCCCCAAGAGGGCCAACACAAAACAGTGCATGTTCATAAGTTTCGCTTCGTAGGCTTTCACAGCGTCTGACGACGGTCCAGGAAGCCCCCCAAATCACCCCAAGATGTCCCAAAGAGTCTCCCAAGACAGCTCAAGAGAGCCTCAAGAAGGCCCAAGACGCGCCGAAGATGGCCGAAGAGGGCCCCAAAAGCCTCAAGAGGGGGCAGACCCCCTAGAAGCCCAAATCAGGCCCCAGGAAATCCCCAGTAGGCTCGGAAATGCTCCCAAACACCCTTACAACCGCCTCCAAGAAACTTCCAAGAGGCCTCCCAAGAGATCCCCGCGGGCATCCAAGAGGCCTCGGAGTGCCTGGCGTGCTGAACCCTACTTGTTTGGATTGGTCTTTTTCCAAAAGAACTCTCCCCTAGGGCTTCGGCGCGTCCCGCCGGCCACCCGGAAGACCTGGCTGCAAAAATTGTCACGGCCCAGATGGCTCCAAGATGGCTTCCAAGATGGCCTCCATGTTCGCCCAAAATGGTCCAACATGGCCTCCAAGACGGCCAAAGATAATCCGAGAAGCCCCCCAGTTCGCCCACGAGGCCACCAAGGCGGCCCAAGATGACTCCAAGATGGCCCAAGACGGCCCCGAAGAGGCCTCCAAAACGGCTCAAGAGGCCTCCAAGAGGGCCTCCAGGAAGGCCCGAAGAGGCCAACATCATTGATTGCCTTTCCGTTGTTTGAAAGATTATGGCCTTTGCTTCGTTTAGGCCTTAGACGCCCAAGGTGGCCTCCAAGACTGCCCTGGAGCACCCCACGAGAGGGCCCCCAAGACGGCGTCAGACGGGCCAGGAGCCCACCAAGGGGGCCCAAGATGACTCCAAAATGGCCCAAGACAGCCCAAGAGGCCCCGAAGAGGTCTCCAAGACGGCCCCAGAGGCATCCAAGAGGACCTCCAGAGGGCCCGGAGGCCGAAATCATTGATTTCCCTACGTGTCTGAAGGATTTGGGCATTTGCTTCTTTTCGGCCTTCTGACGGCCCGAGACGGCCCAAGACCACCAAAGATCGCCCCAAGATCGCCAAGAGGCCTCCAGGATGGCCCCGAAGACGGCCCCAAGAGGGCCCCTGAGACGGCCCACTGGGCCTCCAAGACGCCCAAGACAAAACATCCATGGAGCACCCCAAGACGGGCCCCAAGTCGGCCCAGAAAGGCCCCGAACATGGCTCCCGACGGCGTCAGATGGGCCAGGAATGCCCTACGACGGCTAAAGAAGCCTCCGAGAGACCCCCAAAGGCCCCCAAGAGGCCCAAGGAGGCCCCCGAGATGCCTCCAAAAGGCTCCCAGGAAGCTCCCGGGAGGCCCCAAGAGTGCCCCCAGAGGCTCCCAGGGTGCCCCCTCCTCCTCTTCCTCCTCCTCCACCTCCTCCACCTCCTCCACCCCCTCCTCCTCCTGATCTTCCCCGCCATCCTCCCCCAATTGTTCCTCGAAAGGTTTTCACAACGGTCGGGGGAGCACATGGCCCGATAGCTTGGCAGGGCTCTTGCCGCAACGATCGGCCACATGGGCGATTCCAAAGGGCAGGGGGCGGCGGTGGTCCGTAGGCGTCTTCGATATACGGATGCGTACTACTGTAAGTGTGTACACACTTTTATTAGCATGGGCGACAATATGCGCACATACGTTCACAACTACATGGACCCAGCAAAAGTACAGAACTGGAGTCGGATGTTGGGCGGCATTGATGCTATGTATGCCTGTATACAAGCGCATTATCAAATGCATGGGAAGACACGTAAGCAAGCATACGCGTAGACCCGCAGATGCAGATGTGTCCCTGGCAGTCAAGATGCGCAGACTATTGCACGTGCGCGCACGCAACGGCCACCCACATGCTCGCGAGCAGATCCGCCACCGTGCTCTGAAGCACGTGTTCGAGTTTCTCGGACCCCTGCGAGTTCGTTGTATTACGAATTCGAAAAATCGTTGAGGGCTCCGCAGCCCATGAGTTCTGGGCGTTCCTGGGCGCTCCTGGGGGTTCCCCGCGTGACTCATCCGGAGGTCAAGAGCGCAGTGCTCAGGACATGAATGTCCAACATTGCTTAAGATGGCCCCGAGGACCGTCCTGGAGCCCTCTTGTGCCGCCTTGGAGCCCATGGAGGGCGGGCCAAGAGGCCCAAATAGTCAAGTGTATTGGTTGCTGCTTCGTTTTTAACGTAATCGCCGTTTAGGTCTTCAGATCGCCCATGACGGCCAAAGAGGCACCCAAGATCGCCAACGACAGCTGCCAAAGAGTCCCGCAAGACTGGCCCAAGAGGCCCCCAAGACGGCCCAAAGAGAGGGAACACCAACTGACATGTTGAGCCTTCAGCCGCAAGATGGCCCCACTGTTCCCCCCAATGGCGTCCGAGGTGCCCCCTAAGAGACCTCAAGAGGCCCAAAGCAGTCCCCAAGAGGTCCCGAAGAGGCCTCCAAGGCCCCCCCAAACACACCGAAAACCGCTCCAAATGGCTTCCAAGAGGTCTCTGAATAGATCCTCACATGCGTCCAGGGGGCCTTTGACCGACAACCCAAGAGCGGTGGCGGGCTGGACCGAAGGCCACTCGATACACGCCGACATGAACATGTCGCGGATCAGACCGTAACATGAGTATGTGCCACAATGCAATGTATCCTCGCCTCAGCACGAACGGCCCGTGCACTGCATCAACACGATTTAGCCCGCGACGGTCATCATACATGTAAGCACGCCCCGTAATGATTCAATGTAATGTGACATGCAACCGGATGGATATGCATCAAGACTCTGATGGTAGTAGACGTGCAGCTAGTGGCCGTGAGGAGCAAGGCTGGCATAACCAGTGTCACAACGCGAAAACATCGTATCGTATCCATTGTCTGCGTACCGTCTTCCCAGTCTGCTACCCTCTCCGCATCACATTACCTGACAGTCCTGTACTATTTCGTGTGCGCATGCATTAAGGCTCCCTTCGTAGGTTTACGCATACATCATGTGAACGCATTACCTCTTCCACGAATGGTGTCAGGCGCTGGCCATATCTCTGATATCCGACCCACTTGACATTTCAATATTGCGGGCTCATCGCCCAGCTCACTCCGATCTCCCACCTTCAGTTCCTTGAGCATGCTCCGCAGGACGTCATCGGTGCAGTGCCCGCCACCTCCCCGAAGCACCTTGCTCTTTCGCGAGGATTCAAAGGTTCTGCTGGAGGTGGTATCCCCCTGCTTTGCGGCGGCCCGCTCGAGACATCTTCAATCCCTCGCTGCTCGGAGAGGCATCGTGAACCGCCTGGGTTGAGGTAGCAACCTGCTCATGGTGTCGCATGGCGACGGAGGCAAACATCACCCTGACGAAGGACCCAACCATATGCAGCTGCAAGTGCCGCGAGGGAGATGAGACGAAGGAGGGGGGCGCACAAACTCCGAGTAGCGCACGCGGTATAGCCTTCTGCCACGAAACGTGTGAAAAGTGTGCCGACATGAATCGGGAGGACTCCTGCGAACGTGGCCACTGGGGCCTTCTGTGGAGCTCCCTATGGGGTCACGAAACGCGCGATAGGTGTGTGTGTGTGCCGAAATGGGGCGGCGGTGCCATGCGAACTTTCCCACTGGGGCCTTCATGAGGTCACGAACCCTGTGAAGGGTCTGCCAAAATGGGGCGGCGGTGACGCATGCGGACGCTCCCGCTGGGGCCTTCGGTGGAGCTCCTTATGAGGTCACAAACCGTGTGAGGGGTGTGCCGAAATGGGGCGGCGGTGCCATGCGGACGCTCCTGCTGGGGCCGTCGATGGAACTCCCTATGTGGCCACGAACCGCGTGAGGGGTGCCATAATGGGGCGGCAATGACGCATGCAACGACTACCACTTTGACTTTCGGTGGAGCTCGCGGTGGTGCCACGAACCGTGTGAGGCGTGCGGCGCTGACGATGGCGATGGTGATGATCAGATTGATGTGATCATGACGATGGCGATGATGACGACGATGATGACGATGACGATGACGAGGCGGATGGGAGGAGGGAGGAGGGGGAGGAGGGATGGGGCAGCGGGAGGAGGTGAGACGCGGGGCGCTCTCTTTTAAAACGAGGACACAACACTACAGGAAGGTTGGGAATAAGAAGAAATCCGGGTGAGGGCACATCGGGAATCCTTGAAGGCCGGCGGGTCCGCAACATGTATCGGGCGCCGCGGCGGTTCCAGAGCGCTCCGGGAACGCTCTGAGAGCGTTCTGGAACGCTCTGGACAGATTGCTCTTCTTCCGCTGCGCTCAGCACGGAGCAGTTGTCAGCATCGCAGCGCCTTATTAGGGGGAAAACAAACCTACCTCGCTTTTGACCACCCTCGCTTCCAAGAGATACCAAACGATGCCAAATTGCAGCCTGTACTGGTCAGGCCGCTTGACGAGGAGGCGCGTGGTATGGCTTGGTTTTGCCTGACTTATGGGTCTTCTGCGCACCAACTTGGCGGGGCTGTCGGCGCGCCGGGGGACGGCCAGAGCGGACGTCGGCATGCGGTCATCCGTGGCGCTCCCTCTCGGGTCTCCTCTTAACCGCTGCAGGGGACCACACCGAGTAAGGCCTCTTTGGATGCCTCCCACATGGGGTCTGAGCAGACGAGGTCGGAAGATCGCGCCGCATCGCCCATGCATCGTCGATGCATTGGCGATGCGCCGTCGGCGCTGAGAAAATCGGGCTCCACATCGAGCCGCAACGGCATTTGGGAGGCTGGCCTCCAGTAATGGATGCCAAGATGGGCGTCAGCCTCTTATTTGGCCAGCGCCAGGGCGAGCGCGCATTTGTGGAGCAGGGCGCGGCTGGGGCCGAGGCAAGTGTGCAAGACAAAGACAGAGGACACCACGGATGAATTCGTGGACGGGAGCTTTGGTGACGTATAAAATGTGCGACAACCTCACGGACCGAGGACGCCACCCGCAGAAAAACGGCGCCCGAAAGGACAAACCGGCGAGAACGCGGCCTTCCCGTGCCCTTGCCTCAGCGATCGAAGGTCTGGGACTTACGCGCTGCCCAGGCCCCACTCTGGACGAGCGGCGTAGATATCGATATTTCTGCCCTCGCGATCTGAACACCGAGGCGGGATCCCATCAATACGCGATCCCGTGGATACGTTCTGCCTGGCCGAATGCGGATCGCATCTTTCAGCAGATTTCGTCGGCTTCGTAGGTTGAGCCTCTTCAGGGAACAACCCCGTGGGCAGCTTAGAGGTTTCGCAGTGAGTCACAGCGTTGCGAGGTCAGTGCTCCCCTCGGATCTGGCCCCATGAGTAAGAAAGAAGGACACCAGGACATCTCCGCAACGCCGCCCTGCAGTCATGGGATCGCGGCAGACGGCAACGGACTGCCAGGCCGCGGATATGGACAATGTGCGAAGACGATTACCATACCCGGGGAGCGACACGCAGCAGCGCCCTGGGCGATGATTAAAACATTGGGTTCCAGGCCTACACCAGGGCGTCGTCGTCGGCATGAAGAATATTCGATCGCGCTCCCCAAACACTGCCCCAGCGGCAGATAACTACCATGATCCATCGAAAAACCGTCCAATCAAAAAAATCACCAGACGCCTCCCCCCCAGAACACCCGGATAGCCCGTGCTGATTCATGACGACGGCTCCATTACGCCGGACAACCCCTTGGACAACCCAGCGGGGATCCCGACAACCCGACCGGCCAACCCTCCTTGAACAAGCCTCCCTGGATTTTCCTCCCGCGCTGTTGCATCAATCGCCATCCAATGTGAGACTTCCCGCTCGCGCACTCTGCTCGTCGTTGACGAACTTCGTGAAGTCTATCGGGTCCACACCGACGTCGGCGGACCAGCCCATGGCGCCGCAGAGCTCCTCCGCCAAACTTCAGGGGAACGTAAGACCTGGGTACAGGGGACTCGGAAATCCCCGACGAGGTCGTCAAAAAAATGACGAGGCCGAGCCTGCATTTTGACGAGGCCTCCCGCTGCAGACATCTCACGAAACTCCTCCTCGTCAAAATTCGAGGCGCGGTCGTCAAAAAACGATGGTGAACCCGAGTCCTGGCAAACCCGGGTCTTACGCTCCCCCGAAAACTGCCCGCTGGCCCCTGGCCGCCCCCAACGCTGCGCCTCCACTCGGCGAGAGCGCCAGCGCGGAGCGATGACAACACTACGGTCGGTCCGTGACGTTCGATGTCGGCCGACTCCAGGCCACCAGCGGCTTTCAACCTGGAAAGCCGCGCTGGGTCTCGGACAACAGTTCGGGCCTCAAACAGCCGTTCGGGACGAACCGGGCATCCCAGGAACCCTCTTGACGTGGCGGCTAGCGAGGACAACCCGAGCGTCCGAAATCTTTCGTCACCCGTCGGGTGGGTCACCCGAAACATGTTCGAGAAAAGCAAGCTGCGTTACTGGCATTCTGGGCCTCAACATGAGTTGGTGCATCCGTGTATACTCCAAACACTTCCCCCGTGCAGCGCGCACCGCAGAGGTGACTCCCAAGCGAGTGGGTCTCCTGAAAAACTGGCGTGGAAACACCATTGGTTTGACTTGCATTCTGGGCCTCAACTGTTCGTACTCCGCACGCTTCCCCTGTGGAGCGCGCGCCGCGCAGGTGGACCCACAGGCGGGTGGGTCACCCGAAACATGTTTCAGAAAAACAAAGCTGGTGCATTCGCATTTCACACACATCCCCCGTGCAGCGCGCACCGCGCAAGTGACCCACCAACGGGTGGGCGACCCGAAAGCTGGCGGGGAAAAATCAATCGTTTCACTTGCATTCAAGGCCTCGAAGAGAGCTGGTGCACTCGTAATCCACGCGTTTCCCCCGTGTAGCGCGCGCCGCACAGGTGATCCACAAGCGGGTGGCTCAGCCGAACATTGGGTGGTAAGAACAAATAATTTCACTTGCATTCAGGGTCTCAAGACGAGGTGGTGCACGCTTCCCCTATGGAGCGCGAGCCGCGCAGGTGAGCCGCTAGCGGGTGAAAACCCGAAGCTGATTGAGAAAAACCAATTGCTCCACGTGCTCTCTGAGCCTCAAGATGAGTTATGTGTCCTCCTCGCGATTTCCCCGTGTATCGCGCACCGCACAGGTGATCCACCAGCGGGTGGGTCATCCGAAAACTTGTTGAGAAAGACAAGTGTATTTCTTCTCTTGCGTTCTGGGCGTCGACATGAATTGGTGAATTCGTATTCCACACGCTTCTCCGGTGCAGCGCCCACCGCAAAGGGGAGCCGCCACAGGGTGGGTCACCCGAAAGCTAGTTGATAAAAAACATTTGTTTCACCTGAAGTCGGCCGTGCCCCATTGCGCATGTAAACCATACTCACGGACGCGGAATCCAAGCGCTTGACGCATGCTGCAGCATCGAAAACTGCGCAGGAGCGAGGCGCGCGGCGGCGTTGGGCCCACCTGGCACGGAAGACTCCCAAGCGCGAAGACCGGACGCCACAGCGCGCACGCTCGCGCACGCGCGCACGCAAATTTAGTGTCCCATTAAAACGACAAATCATTACTCGTCGACCGAAACCGCCTATGCATCGAGGCACGCGTAAACTCGAGACGCGCTTACCAGCACACGCGTTTCTATGTGTACGTATGTGTGTTCTGGTACATGTGCACATGTATGCAAACAGCTATAGATATATATATATATATATATGTGTATATATATATATATGTAAACATAGCAACGTCCCTTGTCCACCGAATTGGTTCCACGGGGGCAATTAAAACAATAGCTATTCGTCGCCGATTTGGGGGCTGGGGGAGTCATGATTTTTTGAACAAGTTATGGACACTGGCACTGCCCATGCCAATGCTGCAATAGCCTCCGAGCGCCACGGAATGCCTCCGGGCAACACAACAGCCTCCGAGCAGCTCAGCGTGCCTCCGAGCAACAACCTGCGCCTGCCATCAACAACACATCCACGATGTACAAACAGAAAAATGCCAGACCCTCCCGGTAACACAACAGCATGCGAGCACCGCAACGGGACTTTGAGCACCACCATGCGCCTGCGAGCAGCAGCAGCAGCAGCAGCAGCACAGTTCTGTCGGCGCGGGCCGCCACACCTCGCAGGCAGCACTGCGATGTGGGCGCCGCCGTACCCGTGGGCACCGACCGCAGGTCCTGCGGGCATCTCCACAGCAGACGCTTGCGACGGCCACAACAGGACGGAGGGGCTCCCGCGGGGGACCCGGCCGATAGCGCCAGTCGAAACACGACCACACTAACGCTGATCAAGAACGTTAGCCCCTTCGCCAGGGCACCGAAGCCCCATGGACAGAATTACCCCAAACTGAAAGATTTACCAAGTGAATAGCCGAACGGTGAAGATCATGAGGGTACTCCTGCGGAGCTGGGGTTGTTCTCAGCCCTCGTGCCAGCTGTACTAGTACGGGTTCTGATAGTCTTGTTCGCCGTCGGAACGAAGACGAAACCACTTGCCGAGAACGGGTATGACAGCGAGGGCGCGGGCTGAGCCGGGAGGGGAATGAGGCCCACCGTCTCTGAAGCAAGCTGCCTCAGGCCAGCGCCGCTGAAGTCAAGGGAGAAACAACTGCATAAACATCAACTCTTGGGGGCCCGCCTGGAGTGCTTGGACCTGAGCTGGGCCCCTCTCCATGGCGCGCGGAACGCGCCATAGACGGCGCCGGAGGTGATGCCAGCGGGGCCCAGCGCCAATCCCATCAATCAGCGCGGAGCTCCGACAGGTTATGCAATTTGCATGTCTTCTTCGGGAGAGAAGGGAGGCTCCTTCCACTCGCCCTCCCACTCGGCGTCGGAGCCGTCGGGCATGCCTATGAGGACGGCGAACCTCCGCATCTGCCTCGACCGCAGCTTGGGCGCCGCTGGGTCCTCCGCAGGGAGGAGGGGGGGGGTCTCGCCTCCGAGGGGGCCGCCGCCGCCGCCTGCGAGAACGGCGGCGGCGGCCGCCGTCCGAGACCCTCCGACGCCCAACGGTCGGCCCTCGGGCGGCCGAGACGTCCGACGGCCGACCGAAAATCCACCAGTGCGAGCCTCTCTGTCGCACCGTATGCCTCGCTACCCGGGCCACCTAACCTCGCGCGCTGCGCCCCGAACTGGGCGACGCATCGCCAAGGCGTCGGCAGCCTACCGCGGGGACCTACCCCGTTTGGCTCTCCGCGTGCTCGCGCGTCGCATCGCCGTTGCATCGGCCGTCGCGCGCTTGTCAGTCACAAAGAGGCCCTCGCGGCGCGGGATTGCCTTAGCGCCCTCCGCGCCCTGGCGCAACGCCTCCTGCAGAAGGGCAGCTGCTCCGGCTCAGGCCGCGGGGCGCGGAGCGCAGTCTCCGCGCCAATCCGGGGCGGCCTTGGCTGCGCCCCTGCCTCCGGCAGCTCGCCGGACCATGCTTCCCGGAGGGACTCGCGGGGATGCGCGGTGCTTCTAGAATTTGCGTGCCAGTGCTTCTGGGCCACGGGACATCTAAGGCTGCTGATTGCTCAATGGCATGGGCATCCAAGGAAAGACCACGGCCTGCCGAAACGCAAAGACACGACTCGTACATTGGCCAACACCGAATGGCGTCCCTGTGAGGGTTACGTCAACTGTGCACGGTGCGATGGCCCAGAAGGCTCAGCTCAGTGCGTGATGTCCTACAGTGAAGCGTCTAGCATCAGAACCCCTGTTCAAGACATAAGACGAAACACCTTTGTGGGGTCCCCAGATGCGCCTGGGTGCACGAGGAGCGCCAGAGGAACAACCATGGAAAAATCAAACAAAAAAAAGAGGCCCTTCCAAGCCCGAAACAATTGTTTCAACGTCTCAACGTCTCAACGTCTCAACTCGATGTGTCTCACCATCCGCTCAACCTCTGGACAATTCCGTTAGCTGGACGGGCCAGCCGGAGGCTTACCAACCTTGAGGATGTCGTCATCCATTCGCAGCTGTGAATGTTGTGCATCTTGGTTAGATGCGCGGGCTCGATCCAAGGCGTTCATTCTGAATAGGTGTCTGATGGCCCTGAGGCAAGACACTGGCCTCCAAATTGTTGGAACAATGTGATGCATGCCATGGCCGACTTGTGTCCAACCGATGGTCGGTCCCGCCCCCTCCTGTCGGAAAGAGGCAAGCGGTACGGCTTGCCGTGAAGAAGTGATGCCTAGCGTGTCGCGGCGGCGGCCCCTGCGACACGCTACGCCCTGCAGCATGATGACGCGCCGCTCTGCTCCGTCGGAAGGGGAAGCTGGGACAAGCTCAGGATGTTGATGCGAGGCGAGGATCTATCCATATCCACCGCCTGTGCAACCGACGTCCTGGGACCCCAGCGGGCGGTGGACACGGATATTTGTTTGCCCCAGGGAGCCCGAACATACCCGTATCCACCGCCCGCCGAGCCCCCCGAAGCTCGATCCCCCAGGCGGTGGTCATGGACGGATTCTCGTCTCGGAGTTGATGCTCGGGGACTGGGACGTGCTTTGCGTGTCGCGCTGAAACGCGGTGGGCCAGAACTGGCGGCGCGCACGCCGAAGAGACGTTCCTGACCGCAATTACTTTGCAATCGCGGTGGTCGCTCCCCCCCCCCGCGACCAGCCCCACGCGGCTCCTCGAGAGCCCCGTACAGCGCGGAGACCATCTCCACCCTGGAGGCCTGCCGGTTGGCCAAGGACACCGCTCGCCAAGGTGAGGGTGCCAGACATCAACGTGCACCAGCCCGACGGGTGCCACAGAAGCAGAAGTGTCGAGGTGTTGCGGCGGCGCAGGGGGTGGGGGGGCGTAGTAGTGCTTTGAGAGCGTAGGAGGGCGCGCGCGTGGTACATCCCGCCCACGAATACGTCCAACCCGCACACACTGAAGAACAATGTGGCGACATGAGGGTGGGGGGCGGGAGATCATCATTCGAATCCAGACGAGACCGTCCAGATTTGCGCTTCGCGCTGCGCGATCTGCGTTATCTCCACGCCTCCGCATCGCCCCCCAGAGCGCCCTGGAAAAGGACATCGCTGGCCCGTCTACAAAAACCCGAAACGCGGCCATGTGGGTGACCGACTGGGGCTGGACGTCTGCCGTTCCTACCATCCGACGTCGTGAAACAAACCACGGCGCCGTGAGCTGGAGACACGACCGGAACTCTCGGCCCCGTCTTCCCGCGACTGCCAGACGGGTCCGCCAGGACCACTCAGTCCGGAACGCCTTTTCGTTGACGACTGGATCTGATGGTCGCGCGCTGCATCCTCGCGCCTGCAGGCCACGCGCACGTGCGCCACAGCCGCCGCCGTGGCCGCCTCCGCCGCCGTGGCAACCGCCGCCGTTGTCAACGCCGCCGGTGCCGCCGCCGCCGTTGTCAACGCCGTCGTCGGTGAGCGCGAATCGCGCACGACCGCTTCCGCAAACTGGCGGCGAGCAGCGGACCCTGAAGGAAGCAGGTCTTGGACCTCGGGGGCCCTCCCCCCAAGAGCGCTCTTTCGTCTCGACTTGCTGTATGTTGACCGTCCCAGGGACTGTGGAGGGCCCCAGGGGCCCGAACACGGCGAACAACACTCGATGCCCGTTCAGGAAGCGCTCTCGGGAGCCTTTCGTAATCACCGGAGTGGCCGCAGTGGCTCCACCAGTGGCCTCCAGTGGTCCCCCGCGACCCTCAAGCGGCCCCTGGTAGCTCCTCCAGTGCCCCCCTGCTGCGTCCAGTGGCCTCTCGTGGCCTCCAGGCCTCCAGCAAACCACTGCTGACCACTGAAGGCGCAGGAAAGCCAGACTAAGTGACAATAGAAGGCTCCCAAGATCGTCTTCTGAACCTGGCTTGGGCAATGAAGCCTATGCACCGATGTGGTCTCCCGCGAGCCTCTAGCAGCCTCTGGTGGCTCCTCCGGTGGCCCCGTGAGGCCTCACGTAGGTTCTAGTGGCCTCCAGCAAACCACTGCGGACCACTGGAGGCGCAGGGAAGCCAGACTAAGTGACAATAGAAGGCTCCCAAAATAGTCGTAACGACCTTCCCGGAGTCCCTGAGCTACTGAACCCCCCTCTGGCCTGCGAGCCGCAGCCCCTAACCCAGACCGAAGGGAAACAAGCAAAAACCTTAGCTGGCCGCGCCTGGCCGCCTTCGCGGGCGGGCGCGTGCAAGGCCAAGGCGCTGCGTTGCCAACAAGAAGAAGCGGAGGAGGAGGAGGGGGACGAAGAGGGAAACCACCGCTGCGCCCGCTTCCCTCAGGAGGCAAATTCTGAGATGTCTTTGCAAAACGATTCAGGGCGCTGAGGCCCGATTATGGGGCAACCACGCTTGATTCATCCGGAAAAAACACCCAGGATCAAGCCCAGGATTAATCCGGAACGAACAAGGCCAAGCGGAGTGGAATTACATTGTGCCGAATGCAGGTCGGTTTTCAGCCACGGATATGCCAGCGCCGCTGTTGAGTTCAACCTGCCAGAAAGTACCCCCCCAAACACGAACAAGATATGGCTTACACGTAACTTGTCAAAGGTCCGCGCGGATTCCTCGCATCGACGCTGGACCCTTCTCCCTTGCGCGCGGAGCGCACGTCGGAGGCGTCGCCCGGGGGGCCCCAAAAAGAGTCCAAGAAATCGGTGCAGACATCCGAGAGAGCGTGTTTTGCATCTTGGCTACAACATTCTATCTGGGCCTCCTAGATGAGGTAGAAGTAGATGGGGTCGGAGGATCGCGACACATCGCAGATGCATCGCCGATGCGGCTCGATGTGGAGCCAGATGTGCTTCACGTCGACGTCGCCGATGCATCGCCGACGTCGACGATGCACCGCCAATGCATCGCCAATACATCGCCGATGCATCGCCGATGTACCGGCGATGCGGCGCGACCCTCCGACCCCGTCTTCTCCGACCTCATACAGGAGGCCTCTATTCTAAGTCCCCCAACGGCAAGCGCACGCTCTCGCAGGCGGCCCCGGCGGGCCGTCTCCCAGCTCGTCGCCGGGCCGGCCGAGCTGCCGAGGACGTGCCCTCCGCCCTCGATGCGCGCGACGTCTCCTCAGAGAAGAATCGGCGGCGAACGAAGAGGGGAAATGAGAAGGAGAAGGCCTTCTCAGAAGGCGGCGGTACTTCTCAGAAGCCCTCGCGCATTCTGAGAAATTGTTTCCAGAGTCTTCGGGGAAAGCTTAGACAACTTCTCAGAGGGCCGGGGGACTTCCAAGTCTTCTGAGAAGGCCCGCCCCTTCTCACTTACCCCCCAGGCTCGCCGCCAAAAGAGGGGGAGAGGGGAGAGGCAGAGCGAAGCGGCACAACAAGGTCAAGCGAAGTGCAACTGACTGTCCAGCGTTCGGAAGAAGTGACTAAAAACACCAGGTGGGAAGGCGTTGAACGTAGAGTGGTTTCCCCCCGCCCCCTGCAGTCGAAGGAAGAGTGAACACCACTCGATACTTGAAGGGCGGCGCCTGATACTTTCATAAGCCGATGCGCAAGGGGTGATGGCCAGGGGCACCCCAAACCACTTGAAAAGAGACGGCGCTGGTGTTCGTGGGCAGCTGTGGGGGGCGCGCACGAGCGTGTGTTGCGGCCCTGCACCGGGGTACATCTGGCTCAATCGAGGCGCTCTGTTGAGGAGCGGGCAGGGGGCGCGCTGGCAATCCGAAGGTGACCTGGTCAATGAAAACTCCCTCCTCGTGTGCCCTGTGCAATCCTGGTCTCATCCGTGTGCCGCTTGGCTGCTCTTGCCCTCTCTGCCCCAGCGGCAGAGCGCGGCATTGGCAACCATCCATGCGCACAGAGAGCGCTGAAGTTACGGTCACAGCCTTGTCACTAAAACGACTGATAGAAAACAGAGGGCGAGCTTCCTTTCTCAGCCTGGTTGGGCCAAGACTTGCGAGGACCTTTTGAGAATAACCGGTTGAAGGACCGAAAGGCCGCTGCGCCCCATCCCGCTTAGAAGTGGTCCTGATCACAGCGCGTTGACTGTGAAGAGAGGCAGAGAATATGTATCACTTGCGCTCAGGAGGCTGCGCGATTGAAAACATGCGGTGTCTCCTAGGGAAAACCCTCGAGATGTTGATGCAGAACCACTCGGCTTCGAAGTTCCACATTTCCTCCCTCCGCGCTTAGAGCGGTCAACGGAAGCAGTACCCGCGGCATGAGCAATACAAGCTGTTCGCAATGCATCAAAGCACAGATAGGGGGTCGTCACAACATGCGATTTGGGCAAAGCACGACGGGAGCCCGTCACTCTGACCAATGAGATATTCCTGCCACCCTTCGTTCTGGTCCTGGTAACCGTGTGCAGCCTGCATATCACCCTGCCTTCTGCTACTCATGACATTGCTGTCCAGCGACACACCCCTCTCATCACTTCCATTCTATACATAATAACTACACCGCTCCAACCTGCACTCGGAGCGACTGGCAAACTGGTGGTCGCCGCACTTCGGGCAGTTCCAGTCGCCATCCCTCTTTTCTCCTCCCCTACCATTGGGGGCGTAACAACAGGCGACGAATATAGACTCAAACCAAGTATACTGTGCAAGTAAAGATGTACATTGGGCGAGCAACGGCTCGCGATCGGTGCAGCATCCTCAGAAACAACGAGAAAGCCAGAAGAGACTGCAGACTCACGAAACTTGTAATTGCACATTGCCTGATTGCATACACGTTGACGGGTGCGTACAACCCAACACGACACTTCAACCCTACAAAAAAGGAACACCCATCCTCGCCTCCGCAACAACACTGATGCTGTCATCTCCTGTGGTCTCCGATCCGACCACATCCTTGTCATAGACAACTGACCGACAAGCATGCTCCGGGTGTCCGGCACCTCTGCGCGCCAGCAGCAGACGACGGGGGCTCCCCCTCGGTCCTGCCCACCACGATTTCCTTCCTGCCGTGTCCTTTCTTGACACCGGGCCTACCAGGTCAGAATGCTGATGGCGGTTACCCTTTTATAGAAAAGCAGCTGCTCGCGAATGGTCTTGATCCGCCGCAGGGGATTTACGATCCATTCCATCGAGGCAAGCATGTCTTTTTGAGAGTAGGCACTTTGCGAATAGTGGAAAAAAGCTCGGTGATTCTGCCTTATGCCAGAAGATTGTGGGTTGCAAATGCCTGCCTAGCCTCGTCCAAGGCAATGACCTCCGCAATCAACGGTGATACAAACTAATGCAAACAATGAATCGGGGAGACGTAAGATTCGGGTACGGAGGACTCGGGTTGTCCTGATGGGACAATCATAAAAATGACGAGACCCAATCCAGCATTTGACGCGAACTCCCGCTGAAAACGTCCCACGAAAAATGGACCGTCAAAATCCAGGACGCGGTCGTCAAAAAACGTCGGCAGACCCGAGTTCCTGCTTACTCGAGTCTTACGCTTCCCCGAAACATATACACATGGCCATCATAACTCGGATGCCATCCGCGCGACCCGATGCTATAGTCCGGCCCCATCAAACAGCAACACTTCACGTCAAAAAATTTGGCCTCTGGCAGCCGCGCGCCCTGGAAAGCCCTCGACGAGGCACAGCTGCTGGAAAACAACCCGAGGCGAGAAAAAACCTAAGAACCAACGAGAACCGAGTCCTCATCCCCCTCTTCTTGACAATATGGAAAAGCATCGAACCAGGAACTCGGAACGAATCGGAAAATGCGTCGGATCGGGATGCATCGGGATCGATGTCAAATCGGATCGGCCGCGCCAGGATGAACAACAGCGCCAGGCAAAGATCGGACCGGGTCGGGCCGTCGAAACTTTGGAATCGAATCGGTCCGGGCTGGCCAAAACTGATGTCGAATCGGATCGATCGAACCGAAATGGACCTTGTCACGCGCATGCGCTGAATCCCACCAGCTCTCTGGGCGCAGGTGGTCTAGGGCATTTCTTTGTCCAAGTTCCTTTCCCTGCTTGGGAGGTTTACCTCCCCCCCCCGCCCATGCGTTTGGACGGGGGGGGGCCCGACCCATAGCAGCGTCCAAGATGGCCCAAGATGGCCCCCAAAAGGGCCTCAGAGAGCGCAATATGGCCTCCAAGATGACCCGAGATAGCGGTAGATGGGTCAAGATAACCTCCGACACACGTCCAAGAGGCTTCAAGACGGCGCCAAGACAATTTCAAGAGCTGTCCGAGGCCTCCGAGGACCCCCCACCAGGCCAAAATCCTTCAACAACCCATGGGAAACCCGTGTTGTTTGCCTTCTCGCGGTTTCGCCTCCGATGGGCTCTTGAGGCCTCAAGATGGCCCCAAGACGGTCCAAGATAGCCCTAGAAGGGGTCCAACAGGGCCCCACGACGGCCCCAAGAGCGCCCAAAAACGCTCCAAGAGGGCCCTAGGACGGCCGGTTGAGCCTCCGATGGGGGGGTCCATATTAAGGACCCCCCTCTTGTTTAGCGAAAGGGTCCCAGACGGCCCAAGAGGCCCCTCTGGCATCCCAGAAGAACCCCAAGAAGGCCCCCATCCCCCCCCCCAAAAAAAAAAACAAGAGGGCCCCAAGACGCCCCAAAAGAGCCCCAGGAGGGCTTCAAGAAAGCCCCAAGAAAGAGCTCCAGGAGGGCCCCAAAGGGCCCCAAAAAGAACCCCAAGAGAGCCCCAAGATGGGTCCAAGTTTCGAAACGCACGCAAGTTTAAGCTACAAGTCAGTGCAACACCCATTGCGAGACATCGAAACACCCTTCACACCTCATTGAAGCACCATCGTAGCTTGCACCGATTTCCATCTTAAACTTCAATGCGGGAAGCTATGTGTTATCCTTGTTTTCCAGAAGACGGCTTCGCGACTCCATGCGTCCTGCCGCCCTGATTCACCAACTCCCCTGCGAATCGTTTCTGGATGGGCTGATAGGGGATACCTTTTTGATCGCGACCGCGAGCGGGCACCCGCGCGGCGTCGGAACAAAGGCTGGTGGTGATATCTTTTTGATCGCGAGCGACGCAGGCAGCTGCGCGCCGTCAAGGTAGTCAGACGACAGGCCAACCTAACAAGGAAAGGCGGAAAAAGGGCCACAAACTCCTGCTAGTGGGAATGTTTTTGTTAGTCAGCGGCCGCGGGCGAGCGCGCTGGCGGCGAGTCCAGTCAAAGCGGGGCACGCAGCGACGAATTAGCCTAAGGCGACAGAGGGAGGGCTGGTGGGGATACGCGAAGCGTCAAGAATTTTCAAAACGGGGTCCTTCGAAGTCCCCACCCTTTCCCCAGGACCAGCGCTTCATCTCGAGTCGTGTCTTGGCGGTCACGGGGCCCGGCGAAGGTCCACGGATGCCAAAAACGACAAACACCGCCCGTCGTGTTGCACTACGACGCGAGCATGTCTGGGTTGGACTCGGCGGCGAGCGAGGGGGGGGAGTGAGAAGGAGAAGGCCTTCTCAGAAGGCCCGGAGGTCCCCAAGCCTTCTGAGAAATTGTCCAAGCTTCCCCGAAGACAGAAAAATACCTCTCAAAGGCGCGAGGGTTCCTGAGAAGTCCTCCCGCCTTTTGAGACGGTCTTCTCCTGCTCATTTCCCCCTCTCGCTCGCCGCCGGTGGACAGCCCCGATCTTTCCTTCTCTCCCGCCCGAGGACGCTAGCCTCGTGTATGCCATGATGATGGACAATCGAACAGCCTTACCATGGAGTTTAACATGTGTTTGAATGTGTTGACAGTGTTGAAACATGTTACGTCCATGCTTCAAACATGCTTGTTAATAACAATTACCCCAGTGCGATCCTACCTAGAAGTTGGAGCCCCTAGGAAAGCAGCATTAGTTGCTATACTATGCTATGCTATGCAATGCTATGATGCGCTATGTTATGATATGCTATGCTATGCCATGCTATGCTATGCTGCACTATGCTATGCTATGCTATGTCATGCCAAGCTATGCTATGTAATGCTGCGCTGTGCTAAGCTAAGCTAAGCTAACCCTCTAAGCAGAGCCTAGGTAGGGAAGTACACCCATGTTATGATATGCGATGCTGCGCTATGCTATGCTACGCTATGCTATGCTATGATGTGCTCTGCTATGCTAAAGCTCAGCGAAGCTAAGATGAAGGTAAGCTAAGCTAACATAAACTGAGATCATGTGAAGCTGAGCTAAGGTAAGATTAACTAAACTAAGCTAAGATGAGATAAGCAACGCGAAGCTAAGGGAACGTCACTGGGGGAACTGCGGGGCGGAGTCCGGGGGAACCGCCCGGGGCGGGTTCCACTGCCCGGCCCTTTAAGCCTAATAGTAAGAACCCTTCTAGGCAGAGCCTAGGTAGGGAAAAACTGTGTTGAGCACGTGTGAACATGTTTGACACGTGTTTTAGACATCTGGTAACCACTTGGCAGCATGCCTCCTCTCCATGGATCGTCCTCCACAGCGCTAGTCGAACGCGCCATGGCCGGCTGATGCTCCCGCAGCGCGGGGCTGGGCCGCCCAGCCCCGCGCGATGGCGCGAGGCACACGCCGCCTCCAGAGGCTCCCTCGCTCCTCGCTCCTCGCTCCTCGCTCCTCCTCCTCCTCCTCCTCCAATTCCTCCTCCTCCTCCTCCTCCTCCTCAGGCGTGCGGGCGCAAGGGCGGTCTGTTCCGCCGAAGCCCGCGCCGCGCCGCGCCCGCTCCTCCTCCTCCTCCTCCTCCTCCTCCTCCTCCTCCTCCTCCTCCTCCTCGGGCCCGCACGAGGTGCTTCCGCCAGATGTGCGGCGCTACTCTGCTAAGATTAGAGAGTCCAAGGTTCGCTACGGACTGGCTTCCTCCCAGAACGAGGGAGACCCTTCTAAAACCCTCCCCAAACTCTCCGAACACCTTCCCATAACCCTTTCCGGATTATTTCCGGAGGGTTTCGAGAGGGTCTCGGCTATTTTGACAGGAAGCCAGTCCCTTGCGAACCCTGGACTTTCTGATGCTAAGTTCTACCCAGACCTCAAAAGCTGTGGACTTTCAAGTCTCTGGGGGCCCTCGCCAAGCACACACACACATTTACACACTTACACTTACACACACACACACTTACACTTACACTTACACTTACACTTACACTTACACACACACACACATTCTTTTACGTCGCCGCGCGGCCGAGGCAATCCGCACGCGCGTCCGAGCGACGCCTGGGCACGAGGTCGCGAACCAGCCCGCATGCGAGAGGGAGGGGAGCAGAGGGCGGGCGGCCGCGCAGGATGGGGAGGCAGGGGGCGCCACGCCCTCCGCTCATGCGGCGGGGCAGCGCTGGAGGGCGGGGTGCGGCCTGGCCGAGGTCCCTGCTGGCAGCGGCTGCGGGGCGGCGTCGCAGCGCACCCAGGGCGCGGGGCCCGGGCAAGCAGGAGGCTGGGAGGCCGCGGCGGCTGGAGACCAGGCAGCCGGCGATGAGGGGGCGGCGGCGTGGGGCCAGCGACGCGGCCGGCCAACGCTGCAGCGGCTGCACAGTGCCCGGGCAAGACACACACACACACACCTAATCCGCAGCCCCCCCTTGGGCGCCCTCGACAGCCCCCGTGGGCTCCTCCTTTGCCGCCGCCGGAGCTGCCGTAGCGGCCGTCCCTGGACATCATCGACGCGCCAGGCCGCCTGGTCTGGCACTTGCGGCACGCGTCGTTCCTTGCGTCTTCGGGAGGGGGGGGGGGGCGCACGAAGCACCAAATGAACGCGCCATTCGTGGTATCTCCGGGGGTGAGGGGGGGGAAAGGAGGTCCGCGCCAAACCGAGGGCATGTCGACTCCAAGACCCTCGATGTTGTGGAGTTTCTTGCCAGACAACCAGAAAACAAATTTTGGGCCCCATTCGGGGATAGATGATAGTGGGGCCCGTCCTCGACAAGGGTACGCACGGTAGGTCGGTCAAATCATCGGATCTCAGAAACGCGCCATCGTCGTCGGGAAACCCGAGCTCGGGGAACGCTTCGGCGAACCCGGGAAACGCTTCGGCGAACCCAGCAAACCCGGAACGCCCGCTGCACTTAGGAATGCGACTCCCCACGGTACCTCCCCAGATGGCCCCTCCAGGACACCCCGCCACGACTCTTCCCCCAGACAATCCGCAGGAGGCCTCGACACAACTCCCCAAGACTTCTCCCCAGCACCCCTGCTCAAGACACATCCAAAAAAAGCACACAGGACACGTCTTGGGATACGTCCAGGCCACCCCAGGGCACGCCCCAGGACACGCCCGAGGGCACCGCGGCCCAGGAGATGCCCCAAGAGACCCTGCACGACACGCCCACGGGCACCGCCAGGACACCCCAGGACACCCACAGGACACCTCCCAGGACACGCCCGAGGGCACCGCGGCCCAGGAGACGCCCCAAGAAACCCTGCACGACATGCCCAAGGGCACCGCCAGGACACCCCAAGACACCCCAGGACACGCCAGAAGACCCACTCCAAAGACGCGCTCCAGACACCCTCAGGACACCCCCAAAATACACCCCAAGACGTTTACGCATGGCATCCGAACACCTTCTCGCAGTACGCCCCCGTGACTCGCCCTAGGACGCACCCACAGCACGGCCCATGACACTTGTCCCAGGACACCCCCAGGACAAGCCCAAAGAGCAAATAAAACAGGAGTGGCCCGAAGTGGCTGATTACACGGAGCCCCTGAGAGTGGATACGCGAATCAAACTCGACATGATCACCGCGTCCTCCCCCTACTCTGCCTTACGTAGCACCCCGGAATTGTGAATAAGAGCGGGTCGCTGGTTGGTCGCGAGTTGGGTCACGGGGTGGGCCGCGGTTGGGTCACGGGGTGGGCCGCTGGGGGGTCGCCGGGGGGTGGCGAGCGAGGACGACGACCACGACAACAAGGTGACCACGCCAGCTGCGGGCCCCATCCAACGATCCAGCTCTCACAGGGGGGGAACTGGCCCGACTGCGGGCCCCATGGGAGGGGGGCGAGCAACGGGCAACGCACCTTGACGTTTCAGCCTCTTGTATTTCAAGCGCTGCTAGTGCTCCGACTGACGATTCCAACCTACAAAGGATGTGGCTACCATGGAAGCGAATCCATACTCCTTCAGAAGGACTCCTCATCAAGGAATCCATACTCAAGAATTCGCAATGAGAATTCATTCATAAGGAATTGCAATGGACCTGTTAGCGTGAAAACCTCAGTATGGCTTAAGAAGTCATGTGCAACAAAGTTCTCTCCCTGAGGCGTCCGTCACAAGGACGCCGTAGTGAGGAACCCTGAATACGACATCCTTCGCGAAGAACCCTCAGCAAAGAATCCGCATTAAGAAACCATTACTGTGAAATTCTTGACAGGGAGCCCTTACGAAGGAACCCGTTCCTAAAGGACTGCTTGCTAACGAATCCTTCATGAGGAGCTATGAATAAGAAACCCGTGCTAAGCAACCCTTGCTAAAGAGCCATTCGTAAGACTTAGTTGAAAACATCCTTATTCGGGATTCCTTGTGGGGAACTTGTCATGAGGAATCCTCAATGAGGAACTTGACTTACAATAATGAGTCCTTCGTAAAAAAACTCCTTGATGAAGAATTCTGGGCAAAGAATCCTTTCCAAAGAACCCTGCAGAAATAGTCCTTACTACAGGCGCCTTGATGGGAAATCATCAGCGCCGAATAGAAAACACCTTCCTCAGGAATCCTGAATCAGGACTTCGATTAAAGGAGTCCTAACTAAGGGGTGCAGCGCCGAGAACCGCAGCTTCGTTGCGGCACGACGGTCGTCAGGTGCTCGAGCCCTCTGAGCACCTCGCCAGACACGGCCCTGCCAGCAAGCCGCCGTCCGCGAAGCCCGGCGCCATGGCGAAGGCAACGGGCGGGTCCAGAACTGGCGGCCACACCGCTGCGACCTCGGGCGCTGGCACCAAGCCCAGCGACTCCCACAGCATCCTCTGGACGAGTGTGGATGGTCCTCTCCGCAGAAATACCAGGATGGGCACTCCCGTTGGGTTGACGCACTCGAGCCACCGCACCAGGCCAGGCGCGACCTCCCGCATCCTGGTCAGGAAAGTGTGTCAGTCGACGTCGCTGTCGGCGTTGGCCCGGTCGCTGCTCAGTAAACGGTTCCCCCTGGTGGTCGTCGTGCCGCTGCCTGTTCCAATGCGGCATCGCTTCGACCCCTCCGGGCAGACCCCACCGCGAGTTCCAGCCGCCGCCTGGCATTTTGGCTGCAGATGCAGGCGACAAGCCAGCCGCCTGGACTTCTGTCGAAACAGAGGATGCCTGGGCTCTCGGCCACAAGCCTCCCCTCCCCCAGAGAACCGCCAAAACGCTCCGGGAATGTCCGTGAGCCTCCTCCTCCTCCGCCAGCGTCTCTTCTACAGCGTTGCCCTTCCGCATGCCTCCTTCGATCCGCCGCGCGCGCTAACACAAACCTACTCTCCCAACAAATTCAGATTCCCTCCTCCATCAGCTTCAAGGATTGAGGGCGGTTCGTTTTCAGAATGTGGCTCTCGCATTAGCGCCGCGACGCGCACATTCGATGCAAGAAATTGCAAGACATCCAAGGATTGATGGCGGCTCCCTTTCAAACTGTGGCTATCTCACCTCAGCGCCGCGCACATTCGTTTAAACAGTTGCACGAGTTTCGCGGATTCTCATGGCATCCTTCCAGAAATCGTGTTTTCGAGCGATGCAGGATTGTCAGGGCGCTATGTTGATTCGCGGTGTTGGAGTTCCAGGTATGGTGTTCTGGCACGATTCAGGGTTTTCGCGCGGTTGTTTCCCAACGGTGACCTTTCCTCAGTGGAAGCGAATTGTTGTATGGGACCTGTGAAGATGGAGCTTGGAGGAAGGGTGCATCCCAAAAATTGTTGATGAGTCTTGGGTTTATCCTGGTCCTCCAACTCCTCCTCCTCCTCCTCATCATCATCCTCCTCCTCCTCCGTCATTCTCCTTTTGCGGCAGTGGGGCGGCTGTCCTTGCCCATTGGTGATCGCCGCACTTGGGACACTCCCAGTCCCCAGATCTGAACCTGGACGATGGAGGGAGGGAGGGGCAGGAGAATGCGGGTGGAGCGAGGCAGGGATGACGATGGGAAAGGAGGGGGAACGGGAGGGAGGAACGGAGGGAACGGGAGGGAGGAAAAGCAAGAGAGAGAGGAAGGCCTGAGGGGAGTGGGAGGGCACGGAAGGATGGAGATATGGGGGAAGGTGGGAAAATCAGGATCTAAACGACACGGAGGGGAATGAGGAATGAGGAAGGAATGCAAGAGGGAGGAGGAGGAGGAGGAGGAGGAGAAGGAGGAGGAGAAGGAGGAGGAGGAGCAGCAGCAGCAGGAGGGGGAGGAGCAGGAGGGAAGTGAAAGAGGGATTGAGGGGGGCACAGCCTCCTGAACTCATCGCCGTTCTTCCTTCTCCTAACTCCCACGTCCTTATCGTTCCTCCCTCTTCACCCATTCGATCACCCATCCTGCTCATTCCAATTCCTCTTCCTCCACACGCGCGCGCGTGTGGAATAGGATGGGGCCACAATCCTTTCAGAGACTCCGATAGGTGACATGGATCACGATTGAGGACAGACACGAGGGAGGAACTGTTATTTAGAAGTACAGTTCTCTGCCGCTGGGAACGATTTAGGAGGGGACGAAAAACTTTTGTCAGCAACGACCACGTCCAAGAGCAGGCCTGGAACCCAGGGCGCTGCTGAGTGGCGCAGTCTCGCGCTGTTTTAGATTTCAAGCCTACACTAGCATATCGCATCCTGGGAGGACCTCGGCTGTCACATCGCGCCACCGATGCGTGCCGGACCCGCGCAAACTCCATGTCGACCGCGTCGAATCCACGTCGGGCACAAGAACACACCGTAAACGACCCCCCTCGAACATGAAACGTAAGCATCAGTCTTGGCCAGAGGCAACCAAGGTTGCTTGTCTACGCCGCTCCCCCCCCCCAAGCATGCCCCGCCGGCCAGCTTCAACGCCAGGCATGGAGGAATGGCGCCCCGGGTGGGAGGCGTAAAGGTACGGCGAGTTCGTGTCGTGACGGCGCTGGCGCTGCTTTCTGACAACACGTGGATCGTTCAGCCTTGAATAATCGCTGCTTTCCGATAGCGCCTTCGCTCGCTGCCAGCCAAATGCTAGGCCACTGGGTCGCCGCCGCGTCGACACCCGTTTACAGCCCAAGAGCTCGAGGCAAAACTCTCGCAACTCATTTGTCGCCCCGGTGACCCGGGCCGCTTGACCAGGCGCACCGCTCTCGTACCCTACTCCCCAAGACCTACAGTCGGAGCTGATTGGAGAGGGCACGCGAGAGGACACAAGACCTTTCCGAGGGCCACATTGCCAGCCAGGAGTGTAGAAGGCATGGGACGGCGAAACACCGGACACAAAGGTACCCTCGATTTGGCGGGGTCGACCTGCTAGTCAGCCTCGACTGTACCGAGTGCAATCTGACCAGGAGTCCGAGGCAGATCGAGCCGTGGCGATGAGGGCCTCTCCAGAGGCCCCGAACCTGGTGGCACGAAAAGGAAGCGGCATCGGGCAGCGGTGTCGGCACCCTGGGGTCAAGTCGGGCCTGTCCCCTACAGGGGGATTTGGGGCGAAAAGTTAAAAATACACCAAATACCCCAAAAATGCTCAAGAATAGTCAAACAATAGTCCCCTGACTATTTCTTTTTTTTATTACTATTTTTGAATATTCCCCCTGTGGAGGGACAGGCCCGGCGTAACCCTGGGGCCGAGAGCGGCGTCTGAGGGCTCAAGAATGCGATCGAAACCCGGGGCCTGGGGCGATGTCATCGGATCTCTGGAGGTGTCAGGCTCCTCCTGTCGGGGGTGCCCCCAGCTTTTCGCTCCAGTTTGGAGCCCCTGGGGCCCTCTGGGCCTCGTGAGCTGTGCTCCGGAGGCCGTGGGGGCCTCCTTGGCAATCCTGGGGGTACCTTGGGCCAGGGGCACTTCTAGCAACACCCGGAATCATCGTGGGTAGTGCCCCTGGAAGGCTCTTTACGAGGTCCAAGACCGGCCCCTGGAATCTCATGGGCAGCGGCCCCTGGCCAGAACTTCGGGGAGGACCAAGCCGTGGCGACGAGGGCGCACGAGGAGGCCCACGAAGGACGAAGAGTTTCAAACACCCGGCCGACCCCCTCGAAATTCGACCTGGCTGGCAGCACCAGCGGAGCTGGCTACACGCAGGAAAGATACTGAGAAAGAATGATCTGTGGTGCGCGACTGGACGACTTTCACATGCAATGCGACAGTGGCAGCCCGCGTGTTACCCCCGAGAGCCGCGCACCAACGGTCACTCTGGAGAAGAGCCACTCTGGCTTTCAAGGTTTGCATCGGCTCTCTGGCGGTCGTTCGGGGCGTTTCGGGCACCTCCAGAGCACTCTGGGCAAGGCGCAGCTGCTGGAAAGCAACCCAAATCCACGGAGTTGCCCCGACCGGCGCCCGTAGCCGCGCACCGAAAACGCCGTGTGGTGACGGATCGCCATCGGTGGAGCTCCCTATGGGGCTACGAAACGTGTGAGGGGTGTGCCGAAATTGCGAGGTGGCGGCATGCGGGCCCTGGCACTGGGGCCTTCGGTGGAGCTCCCTATGGGGCCACGAAACGCTGAACTGGGTGTGCCGAAATAGAGACATGCGGAGGGCAGAGGCAAGGAGGGGGAGGAGGAAAAGAGGAGAGGAGGAACGCGGGGCGCTGTCTCTTCAAAACGGGGACCCAGCACCACATGATGGTTGGGAATGAACTTGGCGCGACCCCACCTATGGGAAATCCTATTGCCATGTTCGCATCGCTTGGCATCGCTTGGCATTGCTTGGCATGGGTTGACATTGCTTTGCATGGTTTGGTATTGCTTTCCGTTGCATGGCACTGTTTGGCTTTGCTTGTGGCAGCTGGGGGCGGTGAACCCGAGGATGCCCGCGAACCCGAGGAACCCATGGAACCCGAGGAACCTCCGAGGAACTGGCAGCGTAACAACAGGAGGCACCGGCGGCGGCGAACCCGAGGATCCCGAGGAAACTCTGGGAAACGGGCAAGGTAACAATAGGAGGCACTGGGGCGGGGAACCCGAGGAAGACGAGAAACCTCCGAGCAACGGGCAACGTAACAATAAGAGGCACCAGGATTCTAACTAATTAGGTGAGAACCGACTGGGCAAGTCTACTAGGGGAATATCGTAAAATAATCTCGACCAGGGCACTGGATCCGAACACAAGCAAGGCTGCGCGAACACAAACAGGGCTGCGCCCAGGTCCCAGGAAAAAAGCTGCGCCCCGACTCGAGCAAAAAATGCCGCGCCCGACACGACCGCAGCGCGCGCAACTGGCGCTCCTCACCGCTCCTCCCCGGGCGGCGGGGGCGGGGGAGCGGCACTCGCCGCCGCCCGGCATCGCCCGACGGGGGCCCGAATGGGAGGGGGGGGGGGGGGGGCGTGGCGCAGGCGGCGGCGGCGCTCCGGTGGCCGCGCCCCGCGCCCCGCGGGCCGCTGGTGGCGTCGGGCGCGAGGGGCAGGAGGCTGGGAGGCGGCGGGGCTCGGAGCGTCGAGCGTCGAGGCTCAGAGGACCGAGGCTCGGAGGATCGAGGTTTCGAGGCCCAGAGGATCGAGGCTCGGAGGGCCGAGGCATCGGGGCTCGGAGGAGGGAGGCTCAGGGGATCGAGCTTCGGTTGCAGTCCTGGCCGGTGCTTGGGCCTCTTGTGGCCACGTCTGGATGCGCCTTGAGATTCTGGCCTACACGCACCCCTCGACAAGTCTGGGTGATGAATAAGGAGGCAACTGTTGGGAAGTAGTCTTGGGAAATATTGCCCACGCCAGGAGCCGCGCTTCTGGCCCGCGAGCTATACCTGCCCATCCCGGGGGGGGGGCATGCGCTGGAGTAGCTAGGAAACAACCCCTGGATGGCCCTCGTCTCGTGGGAGACATTATGGGCCGTGAAGGCCGATTCAGGGTTCACCAGACAGATCGAAGCAAATTAATTCAGCCAACGATCGATCGAGAAATACGACCAGGTCGAGAAATATGATCGGATCGAGAAATATGTTCGGATCGGGTCGAGAAATATGATCGGATCGGGTCGAGAAGTATGATCGGATCGGCCAATCCACATCGGATCGAGAACTATGATCGGATCGGAACGTGCGGCGTGCGTGAAATCGGGCCGCGTCGGCACGGAGTCAGCATCGGATCAGATCGGCAACCCCAGCATGCACAAGAGCGCAACAAACATCGGCATAGACTCAGAACGGCCGAAATCGATATAACATCGGATCGAGCGGCAACTCCCGGGAGGTCTTCATGGGAACGCATGCGGGCTATTAAACCCGGTGCAGGGGCAGGAACCAGATTGATCACAAGATTCGGCCTAACATTACGCAGGATCAAGCGGGACTGAATCATATCAAGCGGGACTAGGCTGGAGACAAACGGTTTCCGATCGCGTATACACCAGCGGCGATGCTGAATACAACCTCCCAGGGGTTTCAACCGAGGAGGTTCAGACGATCCAGGCTCGAGGCTCGAGGGTGTTGTCAGACACCCGAGGCACGACACCCGAGGCACTTCGGGGTCTCAATTCTGGCGGTTCTCCTTGGTTGCGGCATCCCGGGGGCAGGTTTCGTGCCCCTGTCTGCGACGATCTGCTGCCGAGAGCCGAGGGGCAGAAGTCGGGACGTCTGGGGTCGCGGATACATACATACCTCGGCGACGAGTACAAACACCTTGGCGGGGAAATCTCCCTGTCGGGCTCGATTGTTCTGCTAGCGCACGGTCGCCGGAAGAGAGCTTTGGCTGCGAAGACGCTGCTCGCGGTCGACCATATGAGTTGTCTGCCGCTCGGTGGGCTGCAGTGCCTTCTCTTGCGACGCTTCGGGCAACCCTCGGGGGCAACAAATAACTCAGCGACGTACCGAACCCGTTCGGGCTCGTTTCAGGAGCGGGTCATGGTCTGGCATTACCGGCCTGGAACATATCCCTATCCCTAAGCTGGGCATCACGATGCCAATCTTAGGGCTTTCCTTAGTTGTCCAGGGCGCATCCCTAGGATTGTCATCGCCTTTGGGCGTGTCAATCTTAGGACTAGAAATAAGTTCGAGGCTGGTGATGGCAGGGAGCGCGATTTCGGGTGAAAGCGTCTAGATGATAGGCCGACGCGTTGCACGACCCACCGGGGAAGACTTGAGTGAGGCAGCACCCAAGGACACGGCATTGACAAAAAAAACGAGGCACGTTCGCAATTCGGGCGGGTCCCAAGAGCATACACCACCACCACCTCCATTCCCCCTTTCTCCTCCGTCCTCCTCTTCACCTCCTCGTTCCTGGGAAGGGGGAAGGGTGACAGGGAAGAGGTGGTGGTG